TTCCCAAACCACAAACCGGACGGCACGACTCGGAATTCCTGATCTGGCTGGGTCATGGTACCAAGCCCCGACCAATACCTTCGCCCCTAGCTCAGGTCACCCAGAATGCTCGGGGCAACCCTGAGGCCAGGGCTCCCCACCTCTCTCCAGGATCAGCCGGAGGGACCCACACTCTCCAAGAGGTCGGCACTGCACATGTGGAATTGTGCGAGTGTTAATGTCACGAGCTACTTTCCGGACTGTCTCCCTTGCTAAAAACTACCTTCAGCCCAGAACTACCCACAAAATGTCACTCTGAGATACTTATTAAAGTGTTGTACAAATGAAGGAGAGGAACAAATGTGACTTCCATCTATCTCCAGCCTTTCAATGGATTGTCTCGAGTATTATAAGGGCAATCTCTTTAGCAAAGAAGAAACGATTACAGATGTTGGATGGCCCAAAGGAACCCCCCCAAAGTTTTTTTCTTTTCTTTTTTTTTTTTTGGCTGAGAAAAAGACAAAGAATTGCTGCTTCAAATACTGCTGATAAACCTCCTGGCCAGAACTCCCACCGATGTTTTAGTTTCTATTTTTTCACTATTAATTTTGCACATGGCCCTTCATGAAGTCTGATTCACCAATGAGAATATCTGAATGAGAGCCGACCTAAATTAATTCTCCCTGTAATATTTTGCATCTATGCCTGCATCAACTCCTCTGTATCACTTTCACTCGACTGCTTTAGGTCAACAATCATGTAATTTAATTTTTAAATTATCCATTTCATCTGACAGGTAATTTGTCTTTCAAAAATTGATGTTGACTATTGATTGCATTGAAGATATTCTCTATGTGCTCAATGCCCTCACCTTTGACATTTGTCTTCTATTATTTTATTAAGAAGTCAAATACTGCAGTAGCTGCCAAGTTAACTTCTGATAGGCATTATTCTCCCATTCCTTTATTATTCCAACTTCTAGTCCACAATACTATACAAAAGTGTAATATCAAGTCAATAATTTTACTAGTTTTTTAACAATGTACATTTGAAACCCCTGTATTTTACTTGATTTTATAGTTATTCTCTTAGCATGTGGCTCCTTATTAAATAGTTCATCCAGCAAGCTTCCTTTTAACTCTCAGGAGTTAAACTTCCATTACAGTCTCTACACTTTGGGGGTGTGTTTTGTGTGTGTGTGTGTGTGTGTGTGTGTGTGTGTGTGTGTGTGTTACATCTGTGGTGCTAGCAATGGAACCCTGGGCTTCATGCAGGCTAGGTAGGCACCCACCACTGAACTACACCACCACCACTACCACCTCCACCACTGCCGCCACCCCTCTGGGCCCAGGCCTTCAACAGATGGACCTTAAGAGGGCACTTAAGATCCAAACCAAAGGACTGGGGATGCAGCTCAGAGGTAGACAGTGCTTGTTTAGCATGTGCTGAGTTCAAGCCCTAGAACCGCAAAAAAATAAAAACTAAATTAAAAAGAAGAAGAGCAAAGGTGTAGCATCCATTTGTTGGTAGAGGGTGCTATCTTAGGCCTGGTGCTTTCCAAACCGCTGGAACTCACAGCGAAGCTGAACAGAGAGGTGGCTTTTTTGACATTTACATTTCAGCATGGAGAGGAAAATGGCAAGCAAATAAATTTTAAAACAACAGCAAAAGCTGGGTGTGGTGGCGCACGCCTGTGATCCCAGAACTTGGGAGGCTGAGGTAGGAGGATCAAAACAAGTTTGAGGCCAGCCTGGGCTACATAGTCAGTTCAAGGTACATAGCAAGACTCTGGGGAGGGAGGGAGGGAGGGGGAGGGGAAGAGGGAGAGAGGGAGAGAGGGGGGGAGAGAGAGAGAGAGAGAGAGAGAG